AACATTTGGACAAAGTCTCCTTTGTAAGTAGAACTCTACTCAAAACACAACCTGTGCATTATATAATAACAAGACCCATCCGAGGTCCAATATTCAACAATGACCACACCGGGTCCATTTATAAGTAAATATTGCCCACACTGGGTCCAATTATCCATACTCATACAAACATGCAAGGCTATATTAAAACTGTCCATATAGACTCTATTACAATTCTTTTACACATTACATGCCAAAATTTAATTACAAGTCTAATTTTACAAAAGAAATGGATTGGAAGCCACAAGTCGGCTTTTCTTCCTCCTTAAGTGCCCGAGTGAGTGCCGTCCCTCGGCGTATGACCTGTACCTGAAATGTTTCTCGTATAGGGTGAGCCAACGCCCAGTAGAGTATATCCTACAAGGGCTACTCCCCACCTAAGTGCACATGCAATGTTCACATTTGACAATTCATATTCACATCAACATTCCAAGTAAGAATATGCAACTCTATATTGGAATTCACCATGCCATGCAATGAAATGAGATGAAACTCACTCATGCAACTTTAACTCGAATCCTCACCGACTCCCACAACACAATGCAACGCATATGTGTAAAACAACGTTTTTGATGAAACACATCCAAAGATCATTTTGAAATCAGCCATATGTCATAAAACCATTTCATTCTTGGATTTTCCCATCAAATGCATAATTTATATATCAAAATCATGTGCCTTTATTGGGTATCGGATTCAAGAATCGCACCTCTGGCTCCGTACGCCGTTACACTTTTCTGGAATTTCACTGCCGATAAGTGTATGAACCAAGTGGTCGAGTTTTTCACCCGAGGGAGTGTCTAGCCCTACTTGCTATACCCGACACAAATTTTCTTATGCATGTAACCGTTCGACCCAATAGAACATTCAATCCCACTTTTCTGAGCCCACCCTTCAATCACCAAGAATGATGCTTGAATGAACCATGCCTAATTCACACACACACACACCCATAGTCATGCCTAAGCCCATGAATGGGATGCCTCTATGCACTACACTACAATGTTCAATATGTTATGAATGGCATATGAACAATCTCAACATATCCATGGTAAGTTATGTTCTAAACATATCGATACCAAATTTGTCACAATGTCAATATAACACACGCATGCATATACATTGACACTTTTTCATAAAACAATTCCAAACATGTTATCACTATTTTTTTGTCAATAACACACTTAATCACAAAGGCAAATTATAACACACAACAACCTATGTACTAGCCCGCATAACAACCCACAAAATAGCCCCTAATCGAAGCACAAAATAGTCCGTAAAGTGGCCTAAAATAGTCCGTAAAATGGCCCTAAAACAGTCCATGAAATGGTCTTAAAAATAGTCCATGAATGACCTAAAAATTGCCCATGGAATGACCCTAAAAACAGTCCATGAATGTCCTAAAAATAGTCCATGAAATGACCCTAAAAACAGTTCATGAATGGCCTAAAAACAGTCCATGAATGGCCTAAAAATTGCCCATGGAATGGCCCTAAAAAACACAGTCCATGAATGTCCTAAAAATAGTCCACATATAAACTAATTTTACCAATTAAAACATGTCCAAAAACAGTCCATTTGGACAGCCCATAAACAGCCATAAGACATCCATATTTCAGCCACAAAACAACCACATAACAGTCATATTTCAGCCACCAAAAACAGCCCCTTAAAGGTAGGAGTAAAACCAAAGTAGGAAGAACCCTACCTCAATAGAAGTGTAGAATGAATACTAGAACCTCCAAGAACACCCCCAAAGCTCAAGATTTTAATTTCTCCAAAATCTCGCCTTTTGATCTTCGGTGAAAATCTTTGTTCTTGGTATCCACGCGTAACTCTTGTGGCATAGATCAACTTTGATTCTTGACTTGAGCGATTCCGACCGACGGATCTTCTTGAATCGTAGAGACAAAATTAGATTTTTCCCTTTTTTTTTCTCTATTTCTCTCCAACGTCTGAAACCAGCTGAATATCAGAGATATTTCTACTGAAATATCTGATATTTAGCCCTATTTATAATTTCCAAGGTTTGGCTCGAGTTGCGCCACGTGTCCCCTTTTATCCGGGTCTGTTTTTGCCCCGAAACGATTAAATTTTATACCGGTTTAAGTTCAAAATATTTTATATGAATTTTATTTAAAATATTTTTTAAATTTCAAAATTTTTATAAAAATTTCGTTTTTGGGGGTCACCGGATGCCTGTCGCCTTGAAAAACGTAAAAAATTCGATTATCTCGAAATTCGATGAAATTTGACAGGGCACCTAGATTTCACGATGCGAATCAAACGGTGAGGTCCATTGTCCCATCCGAACTCTATAAAAATATGTATTTTAAATACGTATTAGGATGACAAATTACCATTTTACCCTTTTTCAGAAAAAAAAAATTTGAATTTTTCTTGGGTTTCACAGACATCGTCATAAAAAAGGTCATCCTATCTACCAAGGAGTATTGGGAAGGGAAGCTAGGTCCAAACTGGGAAGGACCCTACATGGTCACTGAAGTTGTAAGACCGGGCTCCTACATAATTCAAAACTCTGAAAGAAAAGTCCTGGCCCATCCATGGAATGCAGAACACCTAAAGAGGTATTACCAATAATAGGGGACAAATCAGTGGGTGCATAAGTTAGTAGCAATCATTTAAACTATCTCTGGTTGTTTTAGTCAATTTTTGTTGTTATATACTTCAAATTATGAAATAAAATTTTGCAAGATTGTCTTTTTGAATAACTGTCTCTTATTTCATAGAAATTCATAAACTATTCACAAAAGATAGAGCATAACCTCACAACAAAAAGAGACACATGTAGGTAAAAGAGTCATACTCCTGACCTCAATCACTTCTCCCTGATGCACTCTCATCAAAGCTCTTCTCCTCATCATCATCAATCTCTGGTGCCTCATAGGGGACGAGGCCAGAAAATTCATACGCAGAAAAAGGTGCCGAGACTTTTCTCTTAAGTTCCTCATAACTGTAGATGAAGGTGCTTGCCACGACCCTCTCAACGGCATCCCTTTTTTTATCCATCTCAATGAAGTGAGCCTATGCCTTGGTAGCTCTCTCAAGAACTTCTCGAAGGTTAGCCTCTGCGACGACAACCCTCTCTTGAGCTATTCGTAGCATGGCCTCTGCTCCAGCGAACCTTTCGCAAGACAATCGCAGCTTTGTCTCTACTTTCATGCAGGCATCCTTTCTATCAACCTCCAGTTGGGTGGCCTTCTCATGGGACGCCAAAAAAACTCAATCTCAAAGGATACAACTCTCTCATGTGCTGGCCTCAATTGCTCTTTGGCAACCTCTCACGTCTGCCTCTCGAGCCCCAATTGCTCCTCACACAGCCCCTTGTGCATGCCTTTTTGTTGCCAAATCTTTGAATGCCTCTCCAAGCTTCATGGTCCTTGAAAAAAGGCAGAAAAAGTGGTAACCACCAACAAACATGCAAAAAATAGGACATGAGGGAAAAAAATTGGTGCAAAATCAAAGATAAGCAAACAGCATACCATAACAAAGCCTTCTATAGTAGTGTCAATGATGCTCTCCAAGCCTCGACAGTTGACCTCTTGTCACAAACCCCCAAAGTCGCTCCTTGGCCATATTCACGTCCTACAAAATGGATATTAAACAACTACTGGAAGCAGGGCAACTATGTAAAGCTCCAGTCTTAGTAAGAGACCGCACTAGAGCCTCAATCCCTATAACTATACTAGGACTAGCTCTAGAATGCGATGGAGTCACAACTGGAGATATAGTGGGGGCATCACTAGGTCCCATCTTCCGAGAAGCAACTTGACCAATGGACCTCGGCTGGGAAGCACTGGGGGTATTAGACTTCGCCCACTTAGAGGAAGGAGGAGAAGATGTCACCCTGGAAGCATAAAGAGCCTCCACCATTGCTCTATCAATAGTAGAACCTATGGAATTGGTATAAGATGAAAAGCCTACAAAGTCATAACCATCAAAAGAAAATTGGAAGAGTCAAATACCTTTCCTCTTCTGCTTGGGAGAGGCTCTAGGATGATTTGATGCGAGCATGTATATGAAAACTCGTTGAAATGATGATCTCGCATGACCTAGAGCCTACTCCTCTGCTCTACAGATAATGTGGGTAGAGCTGCAAAAAAACCAACCACAAAATAAGAATAGATACATGACAAGTAGAAGTAAAGATAAGGTAAAATTCTTACCTAGCTTGGTCCCCGGAACAGTGCCCCACCTTGAAGGCACTAAGTCACAATCTCCCCCAGCGCCCCACTCCCCTCCAACGAAGAAGAACTGAGACTTTTAGTTGTGGAAATTTGAGGGTAGTCCACTCTTGATGAGGAGTAGGGTTATCCAAAAGCACGTATGAAGTCAAAAACTCCTCAAAAGGGGGAGGAACATCAGCACCGTGAACTAGCCGCTATAAGGAGAAGAATACCAGAATCACCCTCCACCCATTGGGAGTCAACCTCCTTGGAGCCAATTATAGGTGTCCTAGAATCCGATAGATAGGGCCGGGTATCGAAAACCTCAAACCCATCTCTAGGACATCCTTGTAAAGAACAATCTCTCCCGAGGAGTCGTAACATGTTGGCTGGTCCTCATCGACCTGAGAAACATAATAGTAGGAGGAATACGGTATGAGGATATGATGCGGGCAATCTCTTCATCACAATTTATGGAACTGAATGTGAAGGTTACCTTCGAACTATCACCATCGGCGTTCCCCTTGCCTCGTTGAGAGCCTTGTGAGGTATTCTCTTTTATGCCTTTATCTGAGTGGGCGCCTATGAAAACTAAGAACAATGAGAGAAAAAAGGGTGCCAAAGGTATCAACAAAAAGTAAGGATAGGGCCAAATCAACTTACCCGCTTGAAGGGTGTTTGCTCATTGCTTTCTAACAGCTGATAACTGCCCAAAGTCTAGCTTAATCTTGATGCCAGAGGCAGTGAGTAGCACCCTAGTGCTTCCGACGCTTACGACACTAACGCTAGCGCCCAAGGAACCGCCCACCTGTATGACATGCCTAGTTCCGCTTGTGCCCAAGGTGTTGCCTTTCTCGCCTCTATCAGCATCGCCCAGTCCACTGTTGGAGCCTTCAACCTCTCTGTATATTTGCACACGCTGTAAATGTCGAAGCCCATGCTACCAACAACGTCTCTCGCCACACTTGGATTGCACCCCTCAATCCCAACTCCATGGGAGTCGCCCATGCTCCAACCCACTTCAGTGCCTTTAGCAAAATTGGCATTGCCTCGGCCCGATCCAATGCCCTGTTTCCCTCGTTGAAAAGCATCGCCTAGCACAACGATGGCGTCACCCAACTTATAGTGGATGCCACCCAGCACTGTGATGGCGTAGCCCTTGTAGCCTTCATTGTTGTTCTATCTGTCTTCGGTCTCGCCATAATTTGCACCATTACCTCCATTAAAAGTTCTGAAAGTGTCGTCACCCCTATCCATAGCATGGGCGCCGCCCGTTAGCTCATCGCCAGGAGTGAGACCCAAGGTCGCGTAATCCAAGGGGCCACCAAAGTAGCCCGAGGCATTGCCCTCCTCCTCCTAAGCTCCATCCTTCGTGAAACCAGCATTGCCCTTCTCTTATACTGCCTTGGTGTCGCCTATAACGTAATTTGTTTTTGCTCTAGCGTTGCAAATGACGACACTGACTGCGACTGGCATTGTCGCCACAAACCCACCATAGGCGCCACCCTCCTAGAGGTGACCCAATCCGTTGCCGACGCTGCTTGGGACTCCTCCCATAGCGCCGCCATCGCCACAGGTACTGCCCTCATTCTCCTTGTCGCCTGCAGTGGCTTGTTTTGCGCCGACATCCATACTTGCAATATGACTTCTCCTCTTCTCCTTCATCGTGATTGTCCCCATGGAACTTGCCTTCAAGATTTTTCCCCTACTCTCCATTATTTGCAAGAATAAAGGATGTAAGGAAATTACCTAATCTCTGGGTCAAGAAGATGGAAGGGGAGTAACCAAGTGACCAAGGGCAAGTATAGGTACACCAACTTTTAAAAGGGGAAAAGGAAACCCTAAAATTTGGAAACCTAGGCAAGGAGGAAGGTTTTGTAGTCAAGACCCATTTGGGGATGATGGCCAACATAGTGTGAGCCTAACGATGGTGTTACCAAATAAGGAAAGAGATTTTGCAGAGTATAGAAATGAGAAGCTGCAGAGACTACCGTGGGAAACAAGAAACCTTTTATCTCTCCAAAGGCTCACTCATGACCTCAACCCCCTTTGTTGCAATCGGGGCTCGAGGCATGGGGGCAAATGATTAGCCCAGATTTAACTAGGTCAGGCCCGATTAATGAGATAAGCACAAATCAACTAAAAGGCAGGTCAAACTCAGTTCATGAATTTCGCTCAGACCAAGATTCAAGGGATCCAAGAATATTAGCGCACGTAGGGAGTAATTACTGGGATAGCCACTCTCCTAGAAAGTATCTCTAATTGTACCTATCTTGATTGTAATTATCCTCCCTGAAAAGCTAGTAATCTACCCATTATGCCACTGTCTCAACTAAAGCTCTGTACCTATAAATTGTAAATCATCTCCACATGAGGGAGCATTTCTCTATACACCGTTACACAACTATCACTATCATAGCTACCCAACTTCTCCCAGAGCTTACATTCTCTCTCTCTCCCACCTTCTACTTAATTAATAAAATTCTTCGGCCACCGTTGCTGTCTTTAGAGTGGAGTAGGTCACTCTGACCAAACTAGTATACATTTGTGTGTTGACCTAGTCTTTGCCTTCTGTTATTAATTGCTTTATTGATTACTTTATTAATTATTCTGAATTGTACACTCGACTATTGATTGTGCATAAGCCTGTTTTGTGCATCATCAAAACTCAAAACAAAAATAATAAACAAAAATTGCAAACAAACAGCCCCTAAAATTTGATGATCACAAGAAAGAAACTCATAAACCTATGGTTTGAGCAAGTACAAGAATATTTTTCTATAAGGAATTAGAAATTAAGAGGGAGAAAACTATTAATACTAAACTGTTAATTAATTGATAACAATGAATTTTATATAGCCAAAACCTTAAGAAAACTGACCTTTGGATTAGTTGAATTGGAGATGCAATATTATGAGTGATCGATGAATTTCTGTAGTTAATGTTTGTCGTATACAATATATGTAGTATTTATGGAAAATACAAAAGCAGCTTAATAGCCAGAAGTCTAATAATGTAAATAACCTTCAAAAATATCAATGTTTGTCATTAAATAAAAAATATAATTTGGGCATTATTCAAGTTATCCATACTTTTTTTTACTTTTTTTTATATTTTCTAATAGTATAAATATAGATATAAAATATAAAATAATGATTATAAGCGTATCATTATTGTATGATAAGAAAATTAAAAGTTTGTGTTTAAGTTTCCATACTGGCAAAAGTTATTGGCTCCGCGTGAATCAAACTATATATGTATCTTTTATACGTTTCCTTGTACAAAACATCTCCATCCTCCCCCATTTCTGAACACATGGTGGCCAACGATTGCTATTTTGGATGTATATGGACTTTCACAGAAAAGTTCCCATGCGCAAGTCATTTCTTGAGTCGGTCTCGTCTGGCGTTTTGCTTTCCTGCCTTAGATTTGTCCACAGTGATCGATCATTAACTAAATTGGTAAAAAAAATTATTTTTTTCTTGCAGATTTGTAAATATTTTTTATATAGATTTTTTAAAAAAATTTCATGTAATTTTTTTTTAAATTTTGTTTCATGTAGATATTTTTAATTTTTCCATGCAATTTTTTTTCATGCAAATAATTTTAATTTTTTTCATGAAAATTTTAAAAAAAATTTCATATAGTTTTTTTTTTATTTTTTTTTCTTGAATATATTTTTATTTTTTTTCATGCTAAATTTTAAAATTTGTTCGTGCACTTTTCTTTTTTTTAATTTCTTCTTCCATTTTGTTATGTCAATATGTTGTGATGTATTATTACAGGATTGATGTTTTTTCCAACTGTTGGTAGAAGCGGAGACATAGGGGATGAAGAGTTTGATATAAACGTGATTTCTATCATTATATTATCCCAATAATATCTTTATCATTTTAAAGCATTGCATAATAACTTTATATTATCAATCATTTGGTTACATAATCGAGTTTTTATAATTTCTATAGTTAAAAATAATTTTTTTATAATAAAAATTACAATCAATAAATTCTATGTCGAAATTTCATCAATTTGTAATTCATATACTATCGTCTGTCTTCCATAACGTTGCCTGACCACTCTTTACACATTACCCTTCATATATAAATTTTAAATATTATTTGATAACATTTAATAATAATCGAATAAATTTTCTTTTAATTTGATAAATTTAAATATTAATTTAGTGTTAATTTGATATTTATATTCAGTGTTGATTTGATAAAATTTAATATTAATTAAATAAATTTAAATGTTGCTTTAATGAAATTGAATGTTCATTTGTTGTTAAATTAAATAACTGACATTAATTTGATAAGGTAAAATTTAAAATTAATGGAATTTGATATTCTATTTAATATATTAAATTTTAATTTAATAAGATTAAATGTCAATTTAGTGTTGATTTGATGAAATTAAATAATAATTTAATGTTAAATTAAAGAAATAATATTAATTTGATGAAATAAAATATTAAATTAATATAATTAAATGCTAATTTGATAAAATTAAATATCAATTTGTGTTGATTTGATGAGATGAGATGTTAATTTAGTTTAAATTAAATAAATGATATTACTTTTATAAAATTACATATTAAATTGATGAACCTAAATGTTAATATAATAGAACTAAAAGAGAGTGTATTGAAATTTCCAATCGGGAGGGGGCATTGTTAAAAATAGGTCTATTTATAGGGGGTATTGTTGAAGTTTTGTCTATTTACAAGATGTATAGATAAAATTTATCTTATAAAATATTCAAATGATATTTTTATAAATTAACAATTATCGTTAACGCCATAACCTGACAAACACTCACAAGAGGTGACAATAAAATTTCAAATCGAGAGGGAGTATAATTGAATTTAGATCTAATTACAGAGGACGTGGATAAAATTTTTTCTAAATGCAATATTCTACTAAAAAAAAAGAAGAGAAAATACGTATTTACCAGTAATGATCCTCTTAGTCCAACTTATTTATTTAGTATTCAATATTTATTTGTCGTATCAATTGTCATATCATCTTTTATCTCTTTTTATAATCGTTCTAACATTATTATTTTTTTAACTAAAGTCTAGCCATACTCTTTCACTACGGAACTTTTTGCACTTTTTTATTCATCATGCAACTGACTAGGTGCCATCACATTATTGATTGCCCATGACCCGGGATAAGCATAAATTATTTAAATTGCTGTTAAAATAACCAAAATATGGATCAAATCTAAAAACCAAATGATGTTGTACCGAAATTATTATAATTTTTATCTCACTTTTATTAATTTAATACTTAAATTTTTTTATCACCACATCATTTATACACTATAGTTGGTCTCATATGTTAGTGGTTTTAACATTACTCTTTAAATCTATATGGACTTTACTCTAGCAATGCACGATGTGAAATACACGTAAATATATTTAAATAATAATTTTTATAAAAAAATTAATTTGTATTTATAATTTATTTGAAAAAACAATTGTGTGTCAAATAATTAAATTTTACGTTAATTATTACAAAACCTAATTATTGATTTACTCTACTCTTATTTGAGTACTTAATTTGTCAATTTTTAGGCATCTTTCTGACTTCTTTAAACATTTTTCGCTCTTGTTTATAGTGAAATTTTATTGTAAAACTAGTTATTGTCTGTGCCTAAAGACATAGAGTAATAAAAAAAAATCAATAATAAACATATTTTTATTCACACCTAAAATCAAATTACAAATATAGAAGTGAGAAAAAAGAATTTAAGCAATAGTTGTAATAGGGGTGAGTGGTGGTGGGCAACAATGGTGGTGGTAGGAGACGATGATGGTGTGGTGGATGGTGACGAGCGTGGTAATAGTGACAGTCGTGGGTGGCAATAAGTGATGGTGGTGGTGATAGGTGACGATGATGATGGTTGGCAATAGTGATGATAGGGGGTAATGACAGCGGTGGTGGCGGTGGTGAGTTGTGGTGGTGGTCGGTGATGACGGGTGTTTCTTGATGACAGTGTGATAGATGGTGGCAAATGACGATGCTAGTGGTGATGGTGGGTGTTGGGTAAGAGTGAGTGAGGATGGTGGTGGGTGATGACGGGTGGTAGTAGTGGTAGGTGTGGTGAGGGGTGGGCGACAGTGGTTGGCGACGATGAATAGTGATAGGTTATGATAGTGGGTGTTGATGGTGGTAATGAGATGATTGTAGTGATAACAAATATAAGAATGATATAATGATAGTGATGAGAGATGATGGTGGATGACAGTGATAATAATCGGTGGTGGGTGACGATGGTAATGGTGGGGGTAGGGGTGGGGATGGTGCAATAGGTGTAGGGTAGGGGTGGTAGTAACAATAGTGGTAGTGGGAGGGTGTGGTTGTTGGTGGTGATGATTGTAGAGGTAATGATGAGACAATGATGGTAGTGGTAGGGTGGCGGCACTGACAGTAATGGTGGTGAGGCAGTGGTGGTGGTGGTGGTAGTGGTTGTGGTGGAGCGGTTACAAACACTATTTTTTTAAAGTATTTATGAAAAATTATAAGTCTGAGAAACATTTTTAAAAAGTTATTCAAAACACACCCTTAAGGGTTTATTTTCCCTATTAAATTTGGAGTGCTAATATTAATCGTTGGATTAATTTTAAAATAAAATTTAAAGAGATCTCAATCGCAAAAAGAAAAAGTCATTTTGTTTATATTTTAAGATTTGAATTGTATTTTACGTTACTATATAGATTGTCATTCTTAAATATTTATACATTTAAGTAGTTTGTATCATAATATATATTATCATATTGTTACATATAAAAAAAATTAAATGTGACATATTTTTGACAATAAAATTCAATTTGTCAACAATATGTATATAATAAATTAATATGGAATGTATTTTATTTTTTTATATAAATAAATATAATGTAAGTGTACTATTAATAAATGAGTTCAAAACGATTTAGAAGCCAAATATTATTAATAAAAAAGTCTAAAAGAATTTTAAAAAGTCTAATAGCTGTAAAAAAAACATTAAAAATTGAATGAAAACAAATATGAGAGTATAATTGATTTTATAATAATAATTAAGAATAAAATTAAAAATTAAAAATTTTCACAAATCCTGACATTTATTTGCACGTGAACATATTTAAATAATAACAAATTTTTTTATAAAACATTAACATATATTTGTAATTAAAATTGAACAATAAATTATATGTCAAATAATTAACTCTTATTTTAATTATTACTAAATTTAATTATTGATCTATTCTATCTCTCTTGGAGTAATTTGTCATTTTTAAGAATATCTCTGATTCCTTTAGAAATTTTCTTTGTTGTTTATAGTGGAGCTTAAAAATTGTCATTATTGAGTATTTATACATCTAACTTATTAGATTGTAATACTATTATCTATATTAATATTATGATATTATTGAATACCCAAAAATCAAGTATATGTGAAATATATTTGACCGTATAATCTAATCTGTCAATTATATGTTAATAAAATTCTTGATCATGTTATTTATGTACCTATATTATACAGTCATTGGAGTTCTCAAAGTTATATTTACAATTAAAGATTTAACTCTATATAATAGGTAAATAAATAAAGGTAAGAAGAGTTTTGGTTCAAATGAAATATGTAGGCAAATAAGACATGAAAGTGAAAAGAATAACATTAATAAGAACATGTATGGGTATAATTGATTTTATAATAATTATTAGGGATAAAAAAAATCAATTTTTTTTACATTACTGACATTTATGAGTAGTATAGATATATATATATAGATACAAATATAAATATGCACTTTTCTTTCTGTGCACAGCCCAAATCCCCGATTAAATCACTTTCTTTATTGAGGACCATGCCTTTCCAAGACCTATAAACTTGGAGTAGTTGTCCAAAGGGTGATCAGAGACCAAAAAAAAAAAAAAAAGAATGGAGAAGGAAAAGGTAGTGTATGGAGCTCATGTTCTGGCCCTGCCTTATCCAAGCCAAGGACACATAAACCCTATGCTCCAATTCTGCAAACGACTTGTCTCGAAAAGGAATATCAAAGCCACTCTAGCCATCACCAACTTCATCTCCAATTCTATTCACCCACAATCAAGCTCAGTCCAGCTTGACACAATTTCCGATGGGTATGACGAAGGTGGTTTCATGCAAGCCGGCTCTGTACAAACCTACCTCTCAACATTAGAAATTGCAGGCTGAAAAACATTAGCAGAACTCATCAAGAAGCACCAAAGCTCTGAGCACCCCATTACCTGTGTTTTATATGACGCCGTTTTGCCATGGGCTTTGGATGTGACCAAACAGTTTGGGTTAATTGGAGCCTCTTTTTTCACTCAACCTTGTGCGGTGAATTACATATACTACTATGCTCATCATGGACTATTGAAACTGCCGGTTTCCGAGCTGCCGATATCGATTCCCGGGCTACCGTTGCTTGAGCTTCAGGACATGCCGTCGTTCATTATGTTCACGGGTCGTATCCGGCTTATTTTGAGCTGGTTCTGAATCAATTCTTGAATGTTGATCAAGCAGATTATGTTGTTGTCAACACTTTCTACAAGTTAGAGGATGAGGTTAGTTATTTGTTAACCTTTTTTTACAAAAAAAACATAGAAGTTAATTTAACAACATGCGTTGGTGAAACCAGCATTTTCATTCAGTCAGATAATTTAACAACACTAATTTATAGTATTTGGTTTTAGTTTTATTAAATTTTCGAAGTGTTTGAGTTGTTCTTGCTCTGTTGCATAATGGACCCACTGTTCTAAGACTCTGCTACGCCCATGTGTGTCCTGATTGAAAAGGGAAAAATAAAAAAGTAAGATTTAAAGCTGCAAATAACAAATTGACTTTCATGGATTATTAGAGCATCTCCCAGGGGAGTTGCCATTTTTGGGATGCCAAATGTTATTTTGCAAATTTATACAGTGTTTTGGCACCAATAAATTATAAATTTGCTCAAATAATAGGTGCCAAAATGGAGTGTGATTTTAATATTTTTTATTAAAAAATATAATTAAATTTAACGAGTATATTTTAACGAATATAATTTTCATAACGATCGCAATTTAACAAATATATTTTTATAGTAAAAATTAAAATTTTCAAATTTTGAATTTCAAAATTCAACCATTGAAATTCATTCCTAGTAATTGCATTTTTACTCATGTTAAGTCACGCAGACACAATTAATTTATCTTCTTCTAGAGAGAAGTTCATTGTTCTTTGCAATTTTTTCACTCTTGGGGCAACTTCACTTTGTACTAGCGCCAATACTGTAGGTTTAGTCTGTATAACATTATTACATAAATCGGTGTCGTTCATAAGCAAATCAGTGAAAGAATCATCAAATTGTGAATCCATCTACAAAAAAAAAAATTATAATCAATTTAAAGGTAAGATAAAATAATCAATACAAAAAAAATTAATGGTGTAATATGACAATACAATTAAATAACATATTTTAATATGATAATACAAAAAAAATTTAATGGTGTAATATGAGAATACAAAAAACTTTTGGAGTACAAGGTGTCGTTTGCCCAAAAATAAATAGGAGCAGAATCTGGAACAATCTAGAGACAAACCCTTCCCTTCCCCTAAACCCTAAACTAAATCACCCAACGTATACCTAGTGAGATGGCAGAAGAGTTTGCGGTTAACTTCTGTTTGGGCTCAACTAGTGAAGCTCGCTTGAGATGGCAGAAGAGAGGTTTTCGATATCAGGCAAGGGGTTGAATATTCAGGCAATTTTCAGGCAAGCCTCCTTCCTCTTTCCTTCTCTTTGTTTTTTATAGAAGTTTTGGGTTAAATATAGCTGTTGAGATGAACAGTGGACATTATCGGCTCTTTTGCAATCTCTCATATTCTCTCTCTAGAGTTTGCAAATTTGTCACCCCAAGTCCATTGTAGCCATTTTGCCACTCTTGATATCACTCCCTTTAGAGTAAAAGTTTTTAATTTTTGGGTGACATTTTGGTGGTTAAGGATTTACCACCACAGATAGCACTACCCGTTGAGTAAAATAAGTCTATCGTATCCAACAATAAAAAAAGGTGGGCACCATGATGAGAGAGCGACATATATTTGTTTGAATGAATTGTAGCCATTGATTACAAAAATAATAAGGTAATATAAAATAATTTTTTTTCCAACATATCAAAATTTAATTAATGAAAAGTGAATGTATGTTTATCCATACTATTATAAAATATCAACAAAATAAAATTTTTTTTGATTGACTATAATAATATTAGTAAAATAACAAATTACCTTGATCAATTTTTTTTAAATCTTCTCAAATTAATTACATAATATTTGCATAACCTTTCATCTTCTTAAAAGAATTATGTATATAACTTTTTTAATAATTCAAAACAAAATTTCTCTACAACTGGTACACGAAGAGTTATAACGAAATATTCGGAAGTTGAATCACAAAATATTAAAGTGCGATGAATGCAAGAATTATCTAGATGTCAAATAATGTAATATCTTCTGATATTCCATAGCTTGGTTTCGTACAGGTAATTTATTTATATTCATCGAAGAAGTGATCTATTCAATAATTATATTTTAATTTAATTGTCTAAACAAGTATTCTAATTTAATTATAATTTCAAATGATTCGTGTGTAATGCATATGTGCCATAAATAAGAATACCAAAAGTTAGTTGCCATGTCATTTGAGCTCTGAATTTAATTCCAAAATTTAGTCTGGGTAACATTACTGTTTTAGTTCTCATAACCGGACTCATTACATTGTAGCAAGTGCAATCCAAATATCCTAACTAAGAAAAAGTTTGAAAAAAATTAAAGCACCTCTTAATTAGCACCCGAACTCTTGATCTGATATTCATTTCATGGTATATAGGTGGTGGACACAATGTCAAAAATCAGTCCACTGATAACAATAGGACCAACAATCCCATCTTTCTACTTGGACAACCGTGTGGAAAACGACAAGGATTATGGGCTCAATCTCTTCCACCTAGACCCATCTGTTTGCACCAATTGGCTAAGCACCAAGCCAAAAGGGTCAGTTGTTTTTACATCATTTGGAAGTATGGCTAATCTGGCAGAAGAGCAAATGGAGGAACTTGCATGGGGCTTGAAGGGAACCAACTGTTACTTCTTGTGGACAGTTAGGGCATCTGAGGAGGCCAAGCTCCCAGAAAAGTTCATCGAGGAAACTTCGGAGAAGGGCTTGCTAGTGGGATGGAGTCCACAGCTGGAGGTCCTCTCAAGCGAGGCAGTGGGATGTTTTTTCTCGCATTGTGGATGGAACTCGACAATTGAAGCGTTGAGCTTGGTAGTACCTATGGTGGTGATGCCACAGTGGACGGATCAAACGACGAATGCCAAGTTTGTACAAGATGTTTGGAAGGTGGGGATAAGAGTTAAGGTTGATAAGAGGGGCATGGTGGGAAGAGAAGAAATTCAGTCTTGCATAATGGAAGTTATGAAGGGAGAGAGAGGGAAAGAAATGAAGAAGAATGCGATAAAATGGAGGGATTTGGCTAAGGAAGCAGTTAATGAAGGTGGGACTTCTGACAGAAACATAGATGATTTTGTACAAAATTTGAAAAGCTCTTCAAGTTGATATAGTGCTCATTTGATTATGACCACATGGTGGTCATAATTTTATAAACCATCTAGCAGGGCAGAATTTAATATTAATAAACATTATTGTGTTGCACGTATTATCGTTTTATTAACCATTTATCGATAAAGCAGTTGTTAATATTGTTAAAAACTAATAGAACAATGAGTACAAAATTGGTTTTTTTTTTACTGATCAATTAGGGTAGAATTCAATTTCAATAAATATCATGGTGACATACGTATCATTGTTGTATTGGTCATTTGCTCGTTAATCTAATGAAACACTAACTAAATGACTCATCGAAAGTTAAATTTTTTTTAACTTATCAATCTTTATTTAATTAAAATCAATAACTTTTTGAAGAGGAATTATTTCAAGTATTTTTGCTACAGATTAGTACAAATTTTTTAATAAATCAGCAAGAGAATAAAATTGCAATAAGAAAAAATTAGAATGGATCATTATCAGATAAAAATAAAGTGACTGGACTTTGATAAGAATAAGATACAAAACTAAACTTAGCGGTTTCTTTGGAATTTTATTTTTTTTGGGCATTTTTTTAAGAGTTTCAAGTACCTAACATTTTGTTCACCTTTCAACAAAAAACAGCATTCTTTGGGCATTATTGGATGGTTTTTGGGGTGAGGGATTGGATTAGTTTTATCAAACCTTTCCAAACTTAACCCCCATTTTTAGTACATGAGATTCATAGATGAATCATATCTATATCCGTGCTTAATAAGTAACGTATACACATGTGAGATCTACGGATTTATCACAATTATCACCATACATTTGTCCTATAAATCACTATTTTGCCCATTGATTAATTAAGTCTATATTTAATTCCCTTACTCATCTTTTTCTACATCTCATACTTTTAACAAGTTTTGTGAAAAGTCTTGGAATGCACATGTGAAAGACAAAAAGCAATCTAACACTGAATGGGAAAAAAAAAAGAGTTTGTATATTAAGACAGGAACAACATATTCTGAGTTAGGCATTGAGCATTTATGTGAAGTTTGAATCAACTTGTAAATTGATTTATCAAAACACCAATTCTAGGACCACCACAAGTTGAGTAACTTAGTACATTTATATATCACAAAAACTTCATGTCATGAAAATAAAAAATTGCTTCACGTCATGATCATATCAGTGGAAACATGATATAACAAATTGACAACAACCACGATTTAGTTTGAGAATAGGATTCTAACCCGGTATTTGTGCATAAATCAACGGTTTAGTTTTACTATCACCTTTCACTCACGAAGTTGGAGTTTAGTAGTGCTTATCATCCCCAGACTGATGGCCAGACAAAATTAGTCAACCGTTTAGTGGGTAACATATTACGTAATTTGGTGGGCGATCATGTGAAGAATTGAGAAGAAAAAAGACAAACTATCAATTATATTAATCAATCAAAGCTGTTTTGCCCTAAGTCTTACAAGAGTCTAGATAATAACAGAAACCCTAAACCCAATTAAGAAACTAGAATTCTAATTAAATTTGGAAACCGAAGAAAATAAAATCCTAATTGAATTGAAGAATAAAATAAAATAATTTCCTAATTAATTTAGAAAATAAAATAAAATCAACTAAATTTTCCAAATTGACCGGCATTGATCACGTTCAACCCATTTTGATCGGCCCGAACCACCTCGACATCGATTCCATCGATTCAAGTATTGTGCTACCATACAATCAATTCTCCAACAAACATAAAATACAAAAATTGGTGAGCATCAAATAAATACATAAATCAAAATTAGCAGCCAGCTTAACCCAACATGAGCATCAAATAAATACAAAAACTGGAAAAAGAAAACTAAAACAAAAAGTATTAACAAAGGCAAAAAATTGAAGTTGATTCCAAGTTTTGAACATATTATGACTGTTATCACTTCCCATCCACCACCGCCACACCATTGATGATTTCCTAGCAAAAGAATTGGTGAAACATCCCTCCCTTAACCATAATGATGAGAACACCCAACCCTGCTGCCTCTATGTGAAATCTAGAAATCAAGGAAACCCACTAGTCCTCTTTCAAACTGCTACTATAACCCACCCCAAAAAAACCAAGAAAACCGAGAAATCAAGAGGTCATTGACCCACCAGCCTCACCCCACAACCACCACACAACCGCCTCCAACAAAAACTGGACACAGAAGAAATCAAGAACCGAATAACCAGTAGAGTTGAGAGATGAGAACAAGTCTATGAAATCATCCATAGTTATAAAACCCAGGAAAAAATTTGAACTTTTTCCAACAAAGGATAAAATGGTAATTTGCCACTATAATACGGAATTGAAATACACATTCTCTAGAGCTCGTATGACAGAACGGACTTCGCCGATGGATTCATGTCACAGAAACTAGTTATCCTGTCGAATTTCGTCGAATTTTGAGATAGTCAAATTTTTATACGTGGTTCGAGGTAACTGGGTGGCGAATGAACTTTTAAAGGTCCCCAAAAATGAGTTTGATAAAAATTCCTTATAATTGGATAAAATTTCAAATAAAATTAATTTGAACTTAAACCGGGATGAGATAAATCGTTTCGGGACAAAATCGGATACGGATAAATGAGGGGCGTGTGGTGCGACTCGGGTCAAGTCTTCAAAAAATATAAATAAGCGTTAAAATGAGATATTTCAGCAGAAATATCTCTGTAACTTCAGCCAAAAACGTGTGAGAGAAAGAGGGAGAGAAAAGGGAGAAAACCAATCTTCATTCGCCGATTCTCGGAGTTCCGTCAGTCAGAATTCGTCGAGCTAAGAGTTAAAGTTCATCTCCTTGACGAGGGCTACACTTACGTACCAAAAAGAACTGATTTCACCGAAGATCCAAAGAGAGGATTTTGGAAAAATCAAGGTTTTGGGCTTAGGAGGTGTTCTTGAGGCTTCCTACCATTTTTACTATGGTCCAAGAGGTAGGGTTCTTCCTACTTTGGTTTTATTTCTACCTTTTGGGCTAATTTTTGGGCTGCTCTGTGGCCTATTTTGGGACGGTTTTATGGCTGTTTAGGGGCTATATATGGGCTGTTTTATGGGCTTCTTTATAGGCTGTAAGTGGGTTGTTTTATGGGTTGTATATGAGTTGTATGTGGGCTATTTTACGGCTTGTTTTAGGGGCAGTTTTGTGGCCGGATTTGGGGCTGCTATGTGGCTGGTTTAGGGGCTATTTTGTGGCTTATTTTGGGGCTGTTATATGGCCAGATTTGGGGCTGTTTTGTGGGCATATTATGTGTTTACTTTATGCCTTGAGAATTAAGTGTGTTGTTGCTTGATTATGTAGTAACATGCTTAGGAATTGTGTTAGATAAAATGTTGATATATGTGTATTAATATATAGACATTGTGATAAGTTTTTGGAGGTTATATGCATATGATATAATTGTCCATGATACATGATAAAATGTGTTGGAAAGAAATGTTAATATGTGCTTATTGAAATATTGACATTGTAATGATTTATAGAATATGCTTATGATATGAATTGTCATGGAACATGTAGACATGTGGTTTAAATTGCTCAATGGGCATTCATTACCTTGGGTATGATGTTGGTAGTGCAATGGTTCATTACATTGCATATGCATGGAGAACACATTGCATTTTATGGGTGTGAGTGCATGGTTGGATCAATCACCATACTTGGTGTTTTGATGGGTGGGCTCGAAAAAGTGGGGTTGAATATCCTACTGAGTCGCACAGTTGCATACATGAAAAACTTGTGTCGGGTATAGCAAGAAGGGATAGATCCCCCTCGGGTGCAAGGCCCGACCACTAGTTTATACACTTCCTACGTTGCAAGTCCAAAAAAGTATATTAGTGTGTGGAGCCGGCGGTGCAACACCAAAAGTCCACTACCCAAATAAAGACACATGATTTTTGGTTATATAAATGATTTATTTGATGGGAAACATCCAGAAATGAATTGATTTTATAAACACTTGGTTTTTATCTTCAAAGATGATCATTAGATGTATTTCATCAATGACAAGGATTTTTACACTTGTATTACATAGTGTGAAGTGAGTCGGTGAGGGCTCGAATTAATGTGCGTGAGTGAATCTCATTTCATTCATGGCATCGCATGGTAGATTTCAACATGAACATGTATATTATTGTTTGAAATGATTGTGTGAATAGTGAATGTTGTATGTGAACATTGCACGTGCACTTAGGTGGGGAGTAGCCTCTGTAGGACTTACTCTACTGGGCGTGGCTCACCCTATACGGGAAAACATTTTAGGTGCGGGATATACGCCGTTGGACGACTCTCATTCGGAGCCACAAGGGTGAAGTAAGCTGACTTGTGGCTTTTATAACTCATTTTGTAAAATTTTTGGAGCAAACTAGTTTTTGCATGTAATTTTATGTAAGAGAGTTGTAATTGAACTCATATGGACTATTTTTAATATAACTTTACATGTTTTTTATATGAGTATGGATGAATGGACCCGGTGTAGTTAATTTTTACTCATAAATGGACCCAGGGCGGTCATTGTGTTATATCGGGCCTCGAATGGGTCATGTTAATGTATATTGCACAGGTTAAGTTTTGGGTAGAGCTCCCTGTACAAAAGAGACTCTGTCCGATTTTTTGTTAAATTATGGATCCCGATAAATGGGACACAACGGTGTGGCATCGAGTTATATGATATCCATAGGCATTACATGGGTTAATGAGTGATCAACGAACCCCCCAAATTTTGGGGTGTCATAATAGCCACTCTCTTTCTCCCAAGCCAGAGAAGAGGTGACCTCCCATCTATCTCATAGATTCAGTGTCCATTCCAGGCATTGGGGGCAGGGATCTGACTTGGCTAGATAGGAGGATTAATTAGGGATACAAATGTTTTTTGGGGAAATTGGTAGGAGGTATACCAAATTAGACTTAATTGTAAAAAAGTACACAAAAAAATGTTAGGTAACTAAGTCCTTAATTTTGATACTTATTTGTATCTAAGTACATTATTTGAAT